TAACTCTGTAGCCTCTGAGGATAAATACAGACGTCTCTGTACCGATCTCTTAGACTCTATAATCTTGTCAGTGAATTGTGAGACCAAAGCAAGCTAGAGCTCTGATACCAACTTGTCACGATCCAAATTTCCCACCCTCGGTAGTCGTGATGGAGCCTACTCATGAAAGCTAGGCAAGCCAAATATTATAGAATCATTACCCTTTTTCAAACCTTTTAACAATTCAATTTAATTGGCGATCAACAGCAGAAATACCAATAATAATAAAAGGAATGCGGAAGACAAAATCTAATAGTTTAACCAAATACCAAAACAAAAATACAAAATACAACTCTACCCAGAATTTGGTGTCACAATGTTACGGACTATCTACGAATAATACAAACAGTGATCTGAAAGATAAATACAAATCTGTCTCTGAAATACATAAAAGAAACAAAATGGAAGGATAGAGGAAGACGACAAGGCCTGCGGATGTCTGCGGGACTACCTCGGGTCTCCGCCGCTGGACTGAAGGCAGCAACCTCACTGTGGTCCAAAAGCTCTAGCACCAGGATCTTCACACATTACAGAGTGTAGTATCAGTACAACCGACTCCTTGTGCTAGTAAGTGTCGAGCCTAACCTCAGCGAAGTAGTGACGAGGCTAGGACAAAACTACCAAATAAACATGCAGTTATATCGTGTATAGCAAGTAATAACAACAAAGCTAACAGTTAAAGTTGGGATGGGGGAACATGCTGCGAGGGGGATAACAAGTACAAACAAAATTTCAGTAAAGAAGCATAAAGAACACCAAAAATTCAACTATAAGCAAGAATAAGGAGAACAATACAAGTGCACGACATTACCCTTCGTGCTTTTACTCTCGTTCTCACCATAAGAATCAATATAATCAGCACGACATCACCTTTCGTACTTTTACCTCACATAATCATGGCACAGAATTATCCTTCGTGCATTATCACTCATATCAAGGCACGACATTGTACATCGTGCGGCACGACATCACACCCTTCTTAAATTAAAATCATAATATCGGCACGACATCACCCTTCGTGCATTAAAATCACAATATCGGCACAACATCACCCTTTGTGCATTAACACTCACTCACAAATATCACGCACGGAATCACCCTTCGTACTTTTACACTCTTTCTTACCCAAGCAACAATCACAAGCAATTCGGGCAAGGGAATCAATAAAGTCACAATAGAATCCCGGCAAGGGAGCAATAATATATCAATAATATCCCGCAAGGGAAACAATATCGAAAGCAATAACATCCCGGCAAGGGAGGCAATATCATAAACCACTCCTCCTTTCCACAATTATTTCACAACTTAATTCTCAACTTGAGCCAATGCTCTACAATGTTTAATTACAAAGAATACTTCCACAAGCCTTGTTCAACACTAGAAATCATCATATTAATCATGAATAATACATAACGGAGTCACAACAATCATAGTATAAGACTTACGGGCATGCTTGACACCAACATATAGGTACTCGTCACCACACCTATACGTCGTACTCTACAATTAACATATAGTAAATAAGACAACGACTCCTATTTCCCAAAGCTAAGGTTAGACCAAATACTTATCTCAATACCACGAACATAATCAAGCCTCAACTACTGCTTTACCCCTCGATTCCACCACCAATTCGCTTGTATCTAGCCACAGCTTACTTAATAGTATCAGTAAATGCTAAATGAATTAATTCTAATGCATGAAAATAGGTTTTCTAATGATTTCCACAAAAAGTCAAAAATCGACCCCAGACCCACATGGTCAAAATCGAGGTTCCAACCAAACCTCGATCACCCATTCCCCCACGAGCTCAAATATATAATTTGTTTTGAAATCGGACCTTAAATCGAGGTCCAAATCCCCAAAATTTGAAAATCCTAAGTTCTACCCAAAATCACCCAATTTCCCATGAAAAACCCTTGATTTTGAAATGAAATCATGTAAAAAAAATGGATTAGATTGAAAGAAATGAATTAGAAATTACTTACTAATGATTTGGAAGAGTTAGTGCCTTTGAAAAATCGCATAAAGATGTTTTAGGGTTTGAAAAGTTGTAAAAATGAATGAAATCCCGTCTGAAATTTCACTTAACAGGTCTCTGATGTCGCAATTGTGACCAGGGATTCGCAATTATGAACCCTTAAGAAAGATGTAAGCTTCGCAATTGCGAAGAAATAGCCGCATTTGCGACCCTGCCCTTTTCCCATTTGCGACGCCTGGGTCGCAATTCCCATGCCTGAGGACTTCGCAATTGTGAAGTCTGGTCTCACAATTGCGAGATCAGAGGCCTGGGCAAAAATACCAGATACCAACAATTTTTCCTAAGTCTATCCAAATCTCACCCGAGCCTTCGGGGCTCCAAACCAAATATGCACGCAAGTCTAAAAATATCATACGGACTTGCTCGTGCGATCAAATCATCAAAATAACATCAACAACTATGAATTAAACCTCAAATTTATGAAATCACTCAAGAACATTAAAATTATTATTTTCTCAACTATATGTCCGTTTTATACTAAAACAATTCCGATCTTTACCAAATTTTACAAGTTCAACTTAATTATCATATAAGACTTGTACCGGGCTCCGGAACCAAAATACGGGCCCGATACCATCAAATTCAAAAACATTTAAAAATTTTATTTCTCTGGCTTGGGACCTCGGAATTCGATTCGCGGCATATGCCCAAGTCCCATATTTTACTACGGAGCCTGCGAGACCGTCGGATAATGGGTCCGGGTCCGTTTACCAAGAATGTTGACCAAAGTGAACTTTAATCAAATTTTAAAAGCCAATTTCCTTATTTTTCTTAGTTTTCTCATAAAAGCTTTCCGAAAATGCGCCCGGACTGCGCACGCAAAATTGAGGTGAGATAAAAAGAGGTTTTAAGGCCTCGGAACTCAGAATTTACTTTAAAAATGAGTGATGACCCAAAGGCCAAAAGTCATCACACATTTGGTCCCTCAAATCACCTTTCAAAGTGAAACCTTCAACTTAGGTCTCCTGTAGAGGAATCAATTTGCAGCCTCTTAAATCCAAGGAGATTGCCACCCTTTTAACTCTAATGCGAACACTCTGACAATAGGTCTCCTAGTTCAACATTGTACCAGCCAATGACCAGTTTCTCAAGATCCAATGAACTCTTAAGGAAGCTGCAAATTCCAGGAAAGTCCACATATTCTAGGTCTACATCAAGTTTTAAGGATTTCCGGCTTGATGGTAGAGATCATGATTGTGTACCTTTATTTTCTCAGACCAGGATTATGTTTACTACAATTCTGAACACGACAAGGTAGATTAGGAGGCGCTTTCCGGGCTCTGCCTTAGCAAGCAGTGGGGTTGAAGATAAGTATGTCTTTAGTTCTCTCAGAGCGTCGACACACTCAAAATTTCATTGAAGTCTGTTGTCTTTTTTGAGCATGACGAAGAATTTGTGGCATCTATCAAAGGATCGTGAGATGAACCTCGATAGGACGGCTATACGGCATGTCAGCTTTTGCAACTGCTTTTTGCTGGTCAAGTTTTCTGGCATTCCCTCTATAGCCTTGATTTAGCCAGGTTTAACCTCGATGCCTCTTTGTGACAAGAAAGATGAGGAACTTTCCTGAGGGTACGCCAAAGGAGCATTTCTCAGGGTTCAGTTTCGTGTCGTACCGCCTGAGTATGTCGAAGGCTTCTCAATCAATTTTCAATATAGAGCACCTGTGCAAATCTTGAAATTATCAAATTCCGATTCAATTTGGTCCCTCGAATCATCTTTCCAATTGAAACCTTCCACTAACTCAATTCTGCCAATAAAATGACAAAACTTACTGAATTCTAACACTGGTAGAGCATCAAATTTACAAATCGTAACCAAATTACTCAAGAATCATATCAAAACCTACCATAATTGACAACATGAATTCACTTCTAGCCTCGTAACTCTCAATAATGAACAAAAACAAATGATAGACACGAGCTACCACTCTTAGAATCTCCCAACATGGGTAAACACCTAAGCCTCGTACTAATCATGAAACTCACCCATAAATTAAGCAATAAATAAGGAAACTCGCCCCGATAAGCAGAACCGAAACAAAACACGAATAAAAAGCATACATGTATGACATCATCTGGTGCAACGGCCTCAAGCCTACTATATGAAACACATCATCGGGCTGGGCCTTCCCCTCTTCGGAGTCCTCTACTCGCCTGAATAGTCCACTTGGACACATCTGTTCGGAGTCTATGATAATCTTTCACCATGTGTTGGTATCTCCACACTTAAAGAAACCCTTCTACTAACGTGGCAGTGGGAACTATACAGTACGGGCACTTAAAGACCCATGACCAGTTATTTACTCTCTGCTGGACCACCACAGTTGTTTCATATGTCAATAGTGCAAATGAGTAACAAATTATCTTACATCTCAGCGAATTTGTTTCATAATTGGTTGAGATAAACCTCAATTGTTTCAGAATTATCCTTAGTTTAGAACGTTTGAGCAACAAATTGGCTTACATCTAAGCAAAGTAATATTTGATTTATTAGCTTCATAATTAATTTTCAATATAGAGCACCGGTTCATATCTTAAAATTATAAAATTCCAATACCATTTGGTCCCTCAAATCACCTTTCAATGTGAAACCTTCCACTTAGGTCTCTTGTAGAGGAATCAATTTGTAGCCTCTTAAATCCAAGGAGATTGTCACCCTTTCAACTCTAGTGCGAACACTCTGACAGTATGTCTCCTGGTTCGAGATTGTACCAGCCAATGACCAGTTTCTCAAGATACAATCACTACAAAAAAAATAGGTAAATTGGGAGGTTTATTTGCGGAGGGTATAAGTAACCTCACCAATTTGCATAATTTTGCGGCAATGCATTAGCCCCCCACAATTATACAATTTACGGGGGTCAAAAACATCCACAACCCTAAAAATAATAGCGGGTCATATATTTCACACTCCCTCCAATTTCCCCCCCTAGAAACTTCCGCCTCACACGCTTAATTGGCCAAATACACCAAAAACTCCATTTTCCCCCCAACAAAATACGCCTTTCCTTCTTCTTCTTAATCGAAGTTCCGTGCTTAGTCGAAGTCCTCTGCTTAATAATTTTACACCTCCATTAATTGAAGTTCTCTGCTTCTTTTTCGAAGTTCTCCGCTTCAATCAAAGGTCTGTTTCAATCGAAATTCTCCGCTTCAATCGCCACCGCTTTTACACCTCCCAGGTTTGATTTTCTCTTTCTTTCCTTATTTCCCCTCATGGATTTTCTGTTACTTTTGAATTTTTGTGTGTATTTTGGTCGATATGTATGATTAAATAGTGTTTGATATTGAATTTTTGTGTGTATTAAATGGTCGATCTGTATGATTTTTTGTGTGCTTTTTCTTTGTTTTCTTTGTGCTTTTGGTAGTTCTCCATTACCACTGCCTGTCTTCTTTGACTCAATATGAATTATTCTCTTTTTTTTTCTGTTGTGATAATCTTGTTTTACAATATAGCTTTTTTGTTTATTCTATTTTCTTTATATCAGATTTTTCTATTTAGAAAAATAAGAGAGCAACGATGTGAAATTTAAAAATGCATGAAAAAATGTGAATTCTCATTTAGGAATATCTATTTTGTAGTCTAGGATGGTTCTAATTGTACTGATTAATACTTCTTCTGAAATCAGGCTTTTTGTGTGCATACTCAAAGAAAAAGGTAAGAGTAGAATATATTTAACTGGAAACCGAAGGAACTTAGGATAAGTTAGTGGAGACAATAGTAAGTGCATATTAGCTGATTTAGAAAAGTTAAATTTAAGAAAATCATCCAATGGAAAAGAATAACAATTAGTGTTGCGCCTCAATCCTAATTGGCTATGTATCCTTACTGTGAATGTTGCTCCATTTAAGATCACCTCAATCCAAATAAAAAAAAAGTTTCTTTGATTTTGAGAAATCACTTTATGAAATTTGTTTTTCATTTTTAAAGAACTGCTAATAGTTAATATTCTGTATTATAATAATAAAGAACTGATATTTTCTCTTTATATTCTGAAAGGTTCATCAGCTGGACTTGAAAGTTAATACTTTTCTATGGATAAATCTTGGATTAGAAAGGCAAGGAATACCACGGAATATCTATTTGGTTTAAACCAGTTTTTAGATTTTACATTTGCTAATGCTAGTGTTGGAGATAGAATAAAGTGTCCTTGTCCTAAATGTGGATTCGCAAAGTACCAGACTAGAGAGGTAGCACTCGATCATTTGATTTGCAAACCATTCCCTCAAAATTATGTCACTTGGAGTATTCATGGTGAAATAAATATACTTCCTAATTCTATAAATATGTGGTTATACAAGATACATTACCTCCTGAAAATCCAGCAGAATTATTGATCAATAAAGCATTTGGGGGCCTAAGGCACGATGGGGTTGATGTAGGTCTGTCGCAAGTAGCGGGTGGTGAAGAAAGGTTAAATGATGAGCCTGCTACAAATGATAAAGACTTTTTCGAGTTGTTTAGATATGGATGTCAAGAATTGTATGAAGGGTCCAAGTACTCAAAACCAGAATTTTTATTAAAATTGCATCACGTAAAATGTTTGTCTGGGCTGAGTGACAAGGGAATGACCATGATACTAGATTTGTTGAGGGACGTATTTACATTTGCATGGATATCTCATTCTTTTTATGAGGCCAAGAAAACTATCCACAAGCTTTGTCTTGATTATATCAAGATAGATGCCTGTCCAAATGATTGTATGTTATTTTGGGGGAATGATGCTAATGAGGAAATATGTAAGTATTGTCACACTTCTAGGTGGAAGCCTAACAAGAAGATAAATGAAGATCTTGTGCCTACTACAGGTAAGAAGAAAACCAAGAAGAAAACTAAGAAGCTTGCAAAGATTTTGCGTTACTTTCCATTAAAACCAAGGTTTCAGATATTGTTCATATGCTCTAAAATAGCAAAATATATGAGATGACATGCTGAGGATAGTAACAAAGATGGAATCATGAGGTATCCTAGAGATGGTGAGTCATGGAAGAAGTTTGATACAACTTTTCCTGAATTTGCCTTTGATCCTCGGAATGTTCGGCTTGGCCTAGCTAGTGATGGCTTCAATCCTTTTGGCACGATGAGTACTAATTATAGCATTTGGCCAGTCATTTTAGTTCCATACAACCTTCCTCCTTAGTTGTGTATGAAACAACCCAATTTTATTCTCTCAATGATCATTCCTGGTCCACGTACGGTGGGAAATAACATAGATGTTTTCCTACAACCCCTTATTAAGGAGTTGAATAAGTTGTGGAGTGAAGGTGTCGAAACTTTTGATTCATCAAAGAAAGAGATGTTTAGCTTGCGAGCTTACAACCCCTTATTAAGGAGTTGAATGAGTTGTGGAGTGAAGGTGTCGAAACTTTTGATTCATCAAAGAAAGAGATGTTTAGCTTGCGAGCTGCTCTTAGGTGGCGAAGCACAAGGCCTTCTTGCAAGCGTATGTGGCCTTTTAGCAACTGACTGTACCATATTTCCAATTGGCTTTGATAAATGACCGGATATGCCTAAGTCATACTTGAACGACTGCTTTAATAATATTATAAAGGTATAGGTTTTATATCTTTATCACTATATCTATATTTTGTCTTTTGTTTTTATATTTGTATATAAAAGATAAACTAACCAAAATTTATTTTTGAAGTGTCATTTCTGTTTTATGACCATTGAGGAAGTTGCAGAAGTTGTGGGATGAGTTTAAAGACCCACTTAAAACCAAAGATGAGATTATGGATAATGTTCCGGTAGGTATTACTCGGGATCAATGGACTTCCTTTGGGAACTACCGTTATAAAAAAGAAACTCAGCTATTTTTCTGAAACGTCACATTGAAATGCATATAAATTTGATTATTCATTTATATAATTGACTGAAATGTATCTTATTATTAGAACATGTGTAAAAGAAATGCTAAAAATCGGAAGAAACAAACAGTTCCATACACCGGTGGCTCCAAACTTAATTCTAGAAGAAGGGCTGAAATGGTGAAAGATGTCACATTATTTACCTTACTTTAGATATTGTATCTATTTCTTTTACTTTAATTAAACTATTCTGACGTATTTTTATTTTCATACATAGACGGCTAAGACAGGAAGTAAGCCTGGACGAGCACAACTTTATCTTGCTACACATACGAAAAAAGATGGATCATATGTAAATGAGGAGGCAAAAGAAATATGTGTAAGTTACAATATAAAACCAATACACCTGCATCATTATCTGAATCTTGGAGGCAACTGTAGCTCCTTAATAACAGGTCCAAGAATATTCTCCACTAATACCTAAAACTCTACTCTTCCCTATATATAATAGTACCAATGACTTGTAAAATAAGCTTTCTTTTCTACTACTTTGATCAAATTAATCCACACTCAAAAATTTATGATCTGTTGTGAGAAACAGTTGAAGGTTTCAACTGTTGCTTTCAAGGTTGTTTCAATTGTATAATGTTGGCTCAGATTTTTTTGATGTGTATTGTGTTTATGAATAAATTGACCTAGCAATGAGTGAAAGTACAGTGGATGAGTCTGAAATTTCTCCAAATGACCTTGTTGGTAAGGTGCTAGGCAAAGAACATCCTGGAAGGGTGAGATGTTTGGGATTAGGAGCTACTCCAAGCAATACTTTCAAAGAGATAAATCTTCGTCTTGGTAATATTAGAATTGTGAGTAATAATGTTGGATGTTCTTCTTCTGGATGCCAAGAGAAGTATAATCAATTGATGAATACTCTCAAAGCATACATGATAATGAAGGAAAGGTCAATACCAGAACAATTTGCTGGAATCTTTGCATCTCCTCCTACAACGGTAAATGCTAAGTTCTTTTTTTTGGTGTATTGTGCAATTTTATTTTTTATACATGTCAATTTCAGTTCTAAAACCAGCTAGTATTACACAATTTTACTCCAAGTCAGCCCCCAAACCTGTAGAAAACCAAATGATTCATATTTCTTTGTTCAAAAGATATGTTGAATGCCTTAAATTCGTAGAAACAATAGCTAAATTCTTAGTCTTGAATAATGTTGGACTAATTGCATCTTTATTATGATGTACTGGTGGTGCTTTTCCTTTTAAGACATTTAAAATGCTTGTTCCCACATTCGTCACTGACTTATTAGGATTAGTTGAATTTTCCATGAAGATTAAGTCCAGTGACAAACAAGATCATGACCTAAAATCTATCATAAGTGCATAACATTCTTACAATTGTGTATAACAGAACATTCTGGTCGAAGTTAGAGGATAGTAATTCAAAAGGAAGAAGTAATAGTCTACATGAATTCTTCCATAAGTGTTGTATCACTTATTAAACAAATGCTTTATTTTCTTTGTATTTGTGTTGCATACCGTCTACCTTTTAGACTAGAGGCTTCGTACCTTGTCCTGTTTCATTCTTTTTTGTTGGTTTAGTGATTTAATCTTAAATTCATTGCTCAATATCAGGGTTCGCTTGGTGATGTATGGTTAGTGATCATAGGTGTTAAATGAGAGAATTTAGTGGTTGAGTGGGGAACTAATTACTACTGATTCAAATTTCTAATCGTTTAGGAGGGAATGAGCATTACAACGATGATTTAGGGCATGAACTGAGATTTCTATTTCGTGGTGCATTTGTATTCTCTAGGCTGCATATTGGGGTGCTAAGTAGGAAACTTTTTGGGAGGGGTAAAGTGGTTACATTTTTGGATTGAAAGATTTCCTATTACAGAAATTTATTTCAAGATAGTTAATGGAATAATTCTAGAACTGTATTTCAATATTTGAAATTTGTAAGATGGACTAATGGACAGTGGCAGAACTGAAAAAGACAAGCTTGTGGTGTTGCTGTGCACATGGTAGACAGAGCTAATTCAAGAAAATAAATTTAATGTAGATTAGTAGGTATCCTGTAGAATTAGTTGAGGTGCGCTCAAACTCGCCCGGACATTACGGTCATCCAAAGAAAGAAAAGTATCATTGTAATTTCCTTTTAGACTGCACTGCTGAACATTATTTTATCTTAATGACTTGTTTCCTGATACTCCTCTTAATACTTATTTTTACTTTTTGTTGCAGCCAAGTAATGCAGCTAATAGACCCGTTTCACCGACGGATGCTAGAAGGTCTTCTGGCGCTAGAAATCCTAGTGACAGCCATTGAAATTCATTTTAATTGAAGTGGGTGTATTAGAACAATGTAATAGCTAGCTAATATATATGGTTAACTATGTTCTAATTTATCTTGATGACATACGATACTACTCTGTCATAGTATTTTTTATGGTTAATGAAATGTTGATATTTCTTAATTTTAATATTTTGGTTGAAGCATAAATATTTCAATTGATATTAGGGAAAGGGTATGACAAACTGATGATAAAAAATCAATTCTATAATATATTTAAAAATAGATGGGGATAATTAAAAGCCCCTAAGAGAAATTGAAGAGATCCTGATGGTGTACACATAAGAAATTGCGAAGGTTCACAAACCCCACACTCAAAAAAATTAAGTTTTAAAAATAAAAATCTATATTCACGTATGAAATTGTGGAGGTTAAAATTACAATTTGCGGAGGTTAGAAACCTCCGCTATTTGATGTCACGGCGGTTCGGAAAACCCTAGCATTTATCTGCCGCAAATTAATAGTGGCGATGCTTACTGCGGGGGCCTGCTCAACCGCCGTGACAGCAAATAGCGGAGGTTACTAACCTCCGCAAACTGCAATTTTAACCTCCATAATTTACCTCTTTTTTTTGTAGTGAATGAACTCTCGAGAAAGCTGCAAATTCCAGGGAAGTCCACATGTTCTAAGTCTACATCAAGTTTTAAGGATTTCCGGCTTGATGGTGGAGATCGTGATTGCGTACCTTTATTTTCTCGGACCATTACTGCATTTATTGCAGTGTCGAACACGACAAGGTAGATTAGGAGGCGCTCTCCGGGTTCTGCCTTAGAAAGCAGCGGGGGCGAAGATAAGTATGTCCTTAGTTCTCTCAGGGCGTCGACACACTCGAAATTCCATTGAAGTCCCTTGTTCTTTTTGAGCACGCCGAAGAATTTGTGGCATCTATCAGATGATTGTCAGATGAACCTCGATAGGACGACTATACAACATGTCAGCTTTTGCACCTGTTTTTGCTGGTCAAGTTTTCTAGCATTCCCTCAATAGCGTTGATTTGGCCGGGGTTAACCTCGATGCCTCTTTGTGACAAGAAAGCCGAGGAACTTTCCTGAGGTTACATCGAAGGCGCATTTCTCGGGGTTCAGTTTCGTACCATACCGCCTGAGTATGTCGAAGGCTTCTCAATTAGTTTTCAATATAGAGCACCTGTGCAAATCTTGAAATTATCAAATTCCGATTCAATTTGTTCCCTCGAATCATCTTTCCAATTGAAACCTTCCACTAACTCAATTCTGCCAATAAAATCACAACACTTACTGAATTTTAACTCCGGTAGAGCATCCAAATTACAAATCATAACCAAACTACTCAGGAATCACATCAAAACCTACCATAATGGACAACATGAATTCACTTAAGATAGATTAGAAAGTGCTCTCCGGGTTCTACCTTAGCAAGCAGCGGGGGCGAAGATAAGTATGTTTTTAGTTTTCTCAGGGTGTCGACACACTCGGAATTCCATTGAAGTCTATTGTCGTTTTTGAGCACGCTTAAGAATTTGTGGCATCTATAAGAGGATCGTGAGATGAACCTCGATAGGAAGGCTATATGGCATGTCAGCTTTTGCACCTGTTTTTTGCTGGTCAAATTTTCTGGCATTTCCTTTATAGCCTTGATTTGACTAGGGTTTACCTTGATGCCGCTTTGTGACAAGAAAGCCGAGGAACTTTCCTGAGGTTAGACCGAATGCGCATTTCTCAGGGTTCAGTTTCGTGTCGTACCGTCTGATTATGTCGAAGGCTTCTCAATTAATTTTCAATATAGAGTACCTGTGCAAATCTTGAATTTATCAAATTCCGATTCAATTTAGTCACTCGAATCATCTTTCCAATTGAAACCTTCCACTAACTCAATTCTATTAATAAAATCACAACACTTACTGAATTCTAGCTCTGGTAGAGCATCGAAATTACAAATCATAACCAAATTACTCAGGAATCACATCAAAACCTACTATAATGGACAACCTGAATTTACTTCTAGACTTGTAACTCTCAATAATGAATAAAAAAGATAGATACGAGCTATCACTCTTAGAATCTCCCAACATGGGTAAACACATAAGCTTCGTACTAATCATGAAACTCACCCCATAAATGAAGCAACAAATAAGGGAACTCGCCTCGATAAGCACAACTGAAACAAAACACGAATAAAAAGCATACCTGTATGACATCATCTGGTGCAATGGCCTCAAGCCTACTATATGAAACCCATCATCGCCCCCCTCTCTTCGAAGTCCTCTACTCGCCTGAATAGTCCGCTTGGGCACATCTGTCCGAAGTCTAGGACAATCTTTCACCATGTGTTGGTATCTCCACACTCAAAGAAACCCCTCTACTAACGTGGCAGTGGGAACTATGCAGTACAGGTAATCTAAGACCCATGACCAGTTATTTACTCTCTGCTGGACCACCACAGTTGTTTCATATGTCAATAGTGCAAATGAGTAACAAATTGACTTACATCTCAGCCAATTGTTTTAGAATTGGCTGAGATAAACCTCAATTGTTTCAGAATTATCCTTAGTTTAGAACGTTTGAGCAACAAATTGGCTTACAACTAAGCAAAGTAATATTTGATTTATTAGCTTCATAATTAATTTTCAATGTAGAGCACAGGTTCATATCTTAAAATTATCAAATTCCAATACCATTTGGTCCCTCAAATCATCTTTCAAAGTGAAACCTTCCACTTAGGTCTCCTGTAGAGGAATCAATTTGCAGCCTCTTAAATCCAAGGAGATTGTCACCCTTTCAATTCTAGTGCGAACACTCTGACAGTAGGTCTCCTGGTTCGAGATTGTACCAACCAATGACCAGTTTCTCAAGATCCAATGAACTCTTGAGAAAACTGCAAATTCCAGGGAAGTCCACATGTTCTAAGTCTACACCAAGTTTTAAGGATTTCCGACTTGATGGTGGAGATCGTGATTGCGTACCTTTATTTTCTCGGACCATTACTGCATTTATTGCAGTGTCGAACACGACAAGGTAGATTAGGAGGCGATCTCCATGTTCTGCCTTAGCAAGCAGCGGGGGCGAAGATAAGTATGTCTTTAGTTCTCTCGAGCATCGACACACTCAGAATTCCATTGAAGTCCCTTGTCCTTTTTGAGCACGTCGAAGAATTTGTGGCATCTATCAGAGGATTGTGAGATGAACCTCGATAGGACGACTATACAGCATGTCAGCTTTTGCACCTGCTTTTTGCTGGTCAAGTTTTCTAGCATTCCCTCTATAGCCTTGATTTGGCCAGGGTTAACCTCGATGCCTCGTTATGACAAGAAAGCCAAGGAAGTAACCTGAGGTTACACCGAAGGCACATTTCTCGGGGTTCAGTTTCGTACCGTACCGCCTGAGTATGTCGAAGGCTTCTCAAATTATTTTCTATATAGAGCACCTGTGCAAATCTTGACATTATCAAATTCCGATTCAATTTGGTCCCTCGAATCATCTTTCCAATTGAAACCTTCCATTAACTCAATTTTGCCAATAAAATCACAACACTTACTGAATTCTAACTCCAGTAGAACATCCAAATTACAAATAGTAACCAAATTACTTAGGAATCACATCAAAACCTACCATAATGGACAACATGAATTCACTTAAGGTAGATTATGAGGCGCTCTCTGGGTTCTGCCTTAGCAAGCAGCGGGGGCGAAGATAAGTATGTGTTTAGTTATCTCAAGGTTTTGACACACTCGGAATTCCATTGAAGTCTCTTGTCCATTTTGAGCACGCCGAAGAATTTGTGGCATCTATAAGAGGATCATAAGATGAACCTCGATAGGACGGCTATACGGCATGTCAGCTTTTGCACCTGCTTTTTGCTGGTCAAGTTTCTGGCATTTCCTCTATAGCCTTGATTTGGACAGGGTTTACCTCGATACCTCTTTGGGACAAGAAAGCAAAGGAACTTTCCTAAGGTTACAACGAAGGCGCATTTCTCCGGGTTCAGTTTCGTGCCATACCCTCTGATTATGTCGAAGGCTTCTCAATTAATTTTCAATATAGAGCACCTGTGCAAATCTTGAATTGATCAAATTCTGATTCAATTTTGTCCCTCGAATCATCTTTCAAATTGAAAACTTCCACTAACTCAATTCTGCCAATAAAATCACAACACTTACACAATTCTAACTTCGGTAGAGCATCCAAATTACAAATCGTAACCAAATTATTCAGGAATCACATCAAAACCTACCATAATGGACAACATGAAATCACTTAAGGTAGATTAGGAGGCACTCTCCGGGTATTGCCTTAGCAAGCAGAGGGGCGAAGATAAGTATGTGTTTAGTTCTCTTAGGGTTTCGACAAACTCGAAATTAAATTGAAGTCTGTTGTCCATTTTGAGCACGCCGAAGAATTTGTGGCATCTATAAGAGGATCATGAGATGAACCTCGATAGGAAGGCTATACGGCATGTCAGTTTTTGCACCTGCTTTTTGCTGGTCAAGTTTCTGGCATTTCCACTATAGCCTTGATTTGGCCAGGGTTTACCTCAATGCCTCTTTGTGACAAGAAAGTCAAGAAACTTTCCTGAGGTTACAACGAAGGCGCATTTCTCGGGGTTAAGTTTCGTGTCGTACTGTCTGATTATGTCAAAGGCTTCTCAATTAATTTTCAATATAGAGCACCTGTGCAAATCTTGAATTTATCAAATTCCGATTCAATTTTGTCCCTCGAATCATCTTTCCAATTGAAAACTTCCACAAGCTCAATTCTGTTAATAAAATCACAACACTTACACAATTCTAACTCTAGTAGAGCATCGAAATTACAAATCGTAACCAAATTACTCAGGAATCACATCAAAACCTACTATAATGGACAACATGAAGTCACCTATAGCCTCGTAACTCTCAATAATGAATAAAAACAAATGATAGACACGAGCTACCACTCATAGAATCTCCCAACATGGGTAAACACATAAGCTTCGTACTAATCATGAAACTCACCCATAAATGAAGCAACAAATAAGGGAACTCGCCCCGATAAGGAGAACCGAAACAAAACATGAATAAAAAGCATACATGTATGACATCATCAGGTGCAACGGCCTCAAGCCTACTATATGAAACACATCATTGGGCAAGGCCTCCCCCTCTTCGGA